CACAGATTGAAAAACAAACAGAATTACACTCTAACAATCTTTTGTAACCGTATCACTGAATTCTGTGTGCAATTAATCATGGTCAATAACTCTGGCCGAAACATATGTGCCGTATAATGCGTTGACCTTACTGAAGAATCAAAATGGTTCCCCCTTGTCGTGAATGACTTCGAGCGAGTAATCCTCATGAAGTATAGAGTGCCAGTTGCTCTTTGAAGTCCTTGGCGATGCAGACATAATTCATGCAGTCTTTTCACAATTGTTCACCTTTTACCTTCGAAGTGCGGCGGTTCGAGTCCGATAAAAGTGACACAGATTTGCACTTAGTTACTTCTGGTCCCACTGAGTTCCCATTGAGTAAAACATTGACCATATTCTGCCTTGAAACAATCAGCAAACCGCAAACCTGCGAATATTAAAAACTGCATGCTGCTAATCTGCACTCATACTACGGCCATGTCATATGATCCGTACGCATAATTGCAAAAATTCCGTTGAACCCATTCGAGAGCGACTGAAAATGAACAAAGGGGGCAAACGAAAATTTTGAGAATTTTTCAAAAAATTAAAACAAGTGTCATCTCCTGTTAAGAAGAATAAATAGATGAAAATAAAATAATTACTGCAGAAAGAATATCACCAAAGAATTTGTCTTTCCTCATCAATAAAAGAAATTAAAAAACTGCACCATGTAAGTCAAAGTCTTGCCCACTTCTTTAGCAAATAAGTGCCTTAAATTAATAGCCTTAAGAACGGTGGGTTCATAAACTTTAAGCTGATGTTTTGGATTCCGAAATCAGAAATGAGGGTGATCATCAGGTATATACAGAAATTTTCGCCAGAGTTACAGTATAACCGCGATTTACAGGTACATGGAAATTGTAGAGCAGTTTGTCGTAAAGAGTCGGAAGAATGCGATAAAGGACAAAATGCCAAACAAGTAAAATTGACAGTGTTAAAGGAATCGCATAAAATAATTCCAGTTTGAACAGATGTCCACGGAATTTGTAGATTTGTTCCACGTATTTCCCTTGTTTAGTGAAATGTGCAAGGTTGAATTAAGAAGATCACCAGCTTGTCTCTTTAACATTGAAAAATCGTGAGTTCCTTATCGTTTCCATTGTGTAATATTTTAGGGCGTGCCCAGCAGTGTGTGAATTTTTGAGCTGTTTATTATGATTCCATATCGATGTTCCTCAGTCCTATTTTTTTGGCTATCCATGTGCCCTTCCAGTTAAATTCTATCACAATTAATTTTAAAACAACGTTAGTATTATGTGAATCAGCTGAAGAATTCGACTTCCGTTAAATGAAAAGCGGGTTTAATGTCGTGTAAAGAGTTCGAAGGTTTAGCCTTTGAAAGTGACACTGATGAACACGGGAAGCATCAAAACTGAAGGCGTTGGGAATAGCGAATACTGTTCCTGCGTTTTGCTGGATATCTAAGGGTGGATTGAAATTAAGGGTGGAGTATCCATTTTTTGAGGAATATACTGCTTAAGAAATCTAACTTCTTAATTGGTTTGGCGGGAGGTTAGTAGGTTTCTTTGAGTTAATAATCCTATGCCATTAATTATTATAGGGATGATTGAGAATCCGTCAAACGTCGAATACAGTTGCCTGTTAGAGTTTTGTAGCTTCAGAAGCCGAAAGGTCGGCTAAAGTTTATAAATCTACCACCCATAAAGCGATTTTTTGTTATGCAAATGGGGAAAAACTATTTTATTGGCTCGTGTTGAAATAAACTTCAATAAGTAGTTTCTGATAAGTAACAAAAGGACAAACATTTGAATAATAGTTGATTTATAGTATAGCCGTCAACAGAAAACTAAGAAACAGATTTTCGTTTATGTGAATCGTAATGTCGAATCGATTGCTGAACTGTCTGAAATGAACTGAGTGGTGACAACCATTTCGAAGGTTCAGAGAACGAACCCGAAAAGCAACAGAAAGTTGCGAACTTCGAGCGAAACAATGACGGTCGCCGGTCGCAAATATGGGACTGAGTACGTTGGCTTTTTCGGTATGCC